CATAGAGACACACCTGAAGATGGCACATTAGTGTCGAAACATGTAGTGTAAAAGTGAAGAGAAAGGTGAAATTAAATAAAAAGTGTGCACTGTAAGATGGTTAGCATAAATACACATCATGGACATGAACCAGTGCAACAGGGCGCTAAAATATAACATCAAGTATGTTAGGATGAGCATTTTTATGAATTTTATACATTTTCATATGCCAAGATTGCACTGTAAAATTAATACTCATTGTACTACCAAGATCTGATTCAGACTGTTCAATGTACAACTTAACTTTGTGCCATGATGATATTTTAATAAACGTACACAATATGAATACTCATTACAGTACCAAGAACTGTTTGGTGTACAGCTGACCTTAAAGTCACTGTGATACCTTAATACCAATAAATAATACGAGTAAATTTTGTCTAAAACATTTTTGAGGTTGCATCATTACCAAAAAGTTGCATGGAGTATTATATCATCATTAGAAAATTACTAGAATAGGAACAAAAATTGCCATACTAGAGATCTTGTTGAACACACAGGTCTTTTCTTTCACAGGGTTGTCTACCGAATGCGTGACATATCCTCAAAGATGGTTTAGGCAGACAGTATTCATTACACCACCATTATCTGATTCAGACGTTTCAGTGTACAACTGATCTTTGTATCATACCAATATACTATAATATGAGTACTCATACTACCGAGATCTGGTTTGGAGTGTTCAGATACAACTGATCTTTGTGTCATGATGATATAATACCAACACATAATATCATAATATAGATACATATTAGAAAAGAGTTTAACTGCCTTTACTGCAGTTCCATAAATATTAGAACAATTTTGTGAGTTGCTAATCTAAAGTGTGCATTTACTTACATGTTGACTCCTCTAACGTATGTAACATTTTTCAGGGACTTTCTTTGGACTTCTTTTAAAATTCTTGTCAACTGTATCACATACACACCACAAATGGCATAAAATGTTGAATATATAAATATTAAAATTAACTAATCAAACTATTTTAAATGTTATGTAAGTATATGCATGTAATCTTTGCTCTACTTTGTTTATCCTGTTAAATTATGTTACAAATATCTTTCTCTAGAATTTGTGTTTATATAATACTTTGTTTTGAATTTTCATATCTTTATAAATGGAAGTTTTTTTGGTGTTAAAAGACAATCAAGTCAACTGAAAAAAATAAATTTAAAGTGTAAATATAGAACTAAGCATGTGAAATGAATCATTTTATTTCAGATGATATATATATAAACAATGTAAAGTGAAGTTAGAATAAAGTCAACTAATAATCAGGGAAGAACGTTAGAGAATATTTTATATATGAAAGTGGCAGGATTAACCCCAACCCTTTCATACTATCACTTACACCTGCACTGTCAACCATTCATTGAATTGAATGTGTATATACTGCATATCATAACAAGTTCCAACTGTTGGGCAGTGTTAGCAGTGGTGATCAGTTATATCTCTCTGGGGGAGTTTGTGCAGAACCAGCTGCCTCACCCAACATGTTTAATTATACAGTGTGTACCATTATATACCTAACAACTTATATACGTCATTCAAAAATGTTTCTTATTACGTAAAGAGAAACAAACATTTACTACTTATATAGTACAATGTAAAATATTTATTGTTATTACAAAAGAATCCATATTTATTTTTGTAAGTATCCTACACAAATATGAGAGAAATATCACTACATGCCACAATTCCTCAGCATTCCACGAAATGTAACAACACAGTACACGATTTCTTTTAATTATATACATCTGAATGAGACAATCTCAGTTTCACCACATATTAACAACACAGGAGTTGACATCTGCATTCATGAGTATTGCATATAACGTAGCAACCAAGGGAATTATCAAAATCACTCAAATTTACAAAACTGAACCATCCATGTCATTCTGCTCCAAGAATAACTGTGTAATAATACTTGGAGAAATCACTTTCTATATTAGCTATCTCAAATTAAAAGCAATGGGGGGAGTTCCATCCAATGCATAAGATTAACATCTCCAGTAACTGAGTATCACAACATTTACACTTCAATTTCATTTGCTGTACAAGAAGTCTGAATGTTGTACCAAATTCAGTACACACCATTTCTACCGTAACAAACATCAGTCTTGCAGGGAAGAAAGACAACACCAAACCTTACTATCAACTATTTTCCATGCAAAGACTTTGGAAAAAGTAAAAAGGGAAAGCACCATCTTATGATTTAAAATTTTGTACATAGCTTATTCTTAGCTGCACATCTTGCCCTCCTGAAACTGGCTGAAGTTGACTTGAATTTCTCTTTGCCCAACATAACATGGGAGTATTTTCAGTACTTATCTGCAAACCTACAACTGAAGTTCTGCAAGAGTGGCAACTATAGTATATGCCAAACCTTCACACTAGGAGTTCTTTATGTTCTCATTCCACACAATGTACAAGTCTGCTCCATTTGCATTATACTGGGGGTGGGGTGGGGTGGATAAACACTTCCTCAATTTTATAACACAGCATTTCAACCATTCTTAAACAGCCTCAATGGTCATCTCAGCTTCATGGTAACATCTATAAAACATTAACATATTAAGCGTGGTTTGAATTTTATATGCAAACTTTCAATGTTTCATTATTCTACATATATTTAAAAAATTCACTGTATGTAAAACAAAACTGACTCTCTCATTTCCATTTGAATAAGAGAAAACTCTACTGACTTTCATCTTTCCTTTCTTTTTTAACACGATCATTTTCCTTCTACTTTGCTTTTTTTCCCCCTTTCTTTCATAATTCATTAACCACACTTCAATATTTCGGTTATGAATATGGAGTCTCTTACGCTTCTTTGTTTATTCACCTTTTCATGACAGCTGAGGTGTGGAAGAGTGTTACACAGTTGACCAATAAGGGATACTCTGAGCCTCCTCTCATGTCTGTAGAGCTGTGGCAATCTCACGATGAATCCCAGCCAGTTCCTGTAGTCGTGCTGCAAGCTGTGCATTTAGTGTCTCCAGAACACGCTTCTGTGATTCCTGAGCTGAAAGAGCAGTCTCCAGCTGTGCCTGTGCTAACGATACAGCAGCCTGCAACTCTGCATTCTCTTGCTGCAGGTTCTATAAAGGAAAGGATATTCAATACATTCAATGACATACAAAAATCCATATTGATCTCCAAAGTCACTTCTAAAACACATTGCTTTGCACACTAAAAAGCCTACCACTACAAATGTTAGCATAAAAACATAAACATTATGTGTTATGATCCCAGAACTTTGTAACCACTACTTTTCTATGGTGATAGGCTCTTTGGGCATTAACCAATATTTATCTTATTATATAAAACAACATTTTGAAGAATGGACTCTGCCTTCACCCTCAGGTGAAAAGCCTACTCAGTTGCACCCAAATGATAGGGTTAGCCTCTATCTCTGGACACCAGAACCACCATGAGGCACCATATATAAACCAAACATATCAGAAACCATCTGCATGAGTTATGACAACAATTTTAAAATGTTCCAGCCATGAGACCTAGAGCCAAGGTCATATTTAAGGATTGGAAGGATGTCAACAGCAAAATTAGGAACATAAAATATGATCTGATACTTAATGAATACCCACAACACTTCATTGATCCCTTTATGAGGTCTGGGAGAAGCAATGTCCTTCAGATAGAACATATCACATAGATATTATACCATATGTTAGGGGTATTTCTGAACAATTCTAACATGTTTCGAACCAGTTCAATGTTAGGACCATTATCAAAGTTAAACATACTCTCCATGGGGCATTAATGAAAACTGGACCTGTTAGAGATGCCCCAAAGATGAAGCAATGTGTGTAGAGTATTCTGTGTGACTGTGGTATAATTACATCAGGTAGACCTTTAGAAGTACAAATTAAGGACACGAATAAAATCCAATGAAGGTATATTCAAAAAACAAAAATCAGTCCAACATGCATATGAAGGAAACCACAAAATACGTTGGAAAGAAGTGAGGGTTTTACAGCTGGAACCTAACATCACTCATTCACTAAGAGAGATGAGCCTTTCTTATTCAAGAACTTCCCAGCATTTTATTGATTCTGCAGTTTCATTACTGTGTTCACAAGAGCCCCCCACTGGTCTCTACCCTGAGCCAGATCAATCCAATCCATCCCATCCTATATCTCTAAAATCCATTTTAATATTATCCACAAAACTAAGTCTTGGCCTTCTTAGTGGTTTCTTTCCTTCTGGCTTTCCCCACCAGTATCGTGTATGCATTCCTCTTCTCCCCCATTCATGCTACATGTCTTGCACTCTCATCCTCCTTGACTTCATCATTCTAATTATACTTGGCGAAGAGTACAAGTTATGAAGTTCCTCATTATGTAGTTTTCTCCAACCTCCCATCACTTCATCTCTCTTCGGTCCAAAAATATATATTCTCAACACCCTGTTCTCAAACACCCTCAGTCTATGTTCCTCCCTTAATGTCAGAGACCAAGTTTCACACCCATACAGAAATTATAGTTTATATATTATAATTTTTATGTTTTTAGACACCAGACAAAAAGACTTGATTTGTTATAGTCGTTCCCAAATACCTGAACTGTGCCACATTTTCAAAACATCTGCTACCTATCTTTCTGTCACGATTTTGCCCTGCATTCTGGTGACAAGACAGCAACATACTCAGTTTTATCTGTGTTTGCTTCTAGACCAACCTCCTTACTAGTGTCAATTAAAGTTTGTGTGTTTTTCTTTATGGTATCTACATTATCACCCAGAAGATTCACATCATCAGCATCTGTAAAGGCATCTTATTGTACTAAACTCAGCAACATACAATTATTATGAACACAAATCAATCGTTTCTTTTGCATCTAAACCACAGAAGTGGCCCAATGTGTGACAACACATAAATAAAACGATAGCCCATAATTTCCTCTTTGATTCTGTACCAATAGAGTTATTTACATAAAAAATAACAGTTCACAATAAGAACTGAATCTTATTGCTGCACTATGTGTGCTATGTATTCCAGATGTTGAAGTGTTAATTATTTTAACATAAAACCAACTTTTCAGCCCCTCAAACCAGCTACATCCATTTACTACACCACTGTTCTCCAGATTTTTTTTCAGAGTATACATCAATGTATCATTGATAAAGCTCCTAGTGAAGATGCATTGTCTGGTGTTGTCCTTTATCAGTTGTGTCTGGGTCACCATTTCTACTTAGTTCCTTAAATGCTGCACTATTGAAGTTCTGAAGGTCTGGGATAGAGATTAACTTATTATCATGTTCAGCAATGATTGTCCACCATCTGATATACACAACATGTCAGGATATGGCTCCATTCCTATCTGCAAGTGACTAGTTGTCACTATACTGACAGCTATTGCTTGTTTCTGAGCTTAGTATGAGTGGTCAGAATCTCAAAAATAAATGCAATAAAAATAACTGTCACTATACTGACACTCACTCAACTGAGGATAGGAGTCGAGGCAACTGCTAGAATGCTGTGTGTATCAAATACTATATCTCAAAGCAATGGGTGACGGACAATGTAACTGTGGTGTAATGAAACAATGCTATTTATAGTTATGCTGTAAACAAATATTATATCTAAATCATGGTTAACCTTGCAGCGTTCATCCTGAGAACGACTCTGCAATGACTGTTGATCAGCTGGCAAAGACTGTAGTTTACAAACCCTCTTCAGCTCTTCATCCTTTGTTTTCAGCTCCTGTTCCAAATTCTCAACACGTGAACGTAATGACTGTAACTCTTTTCGCAACTCTGCAGCAGCTTCTGTGCTTCCTGTGCAAAATTACATTATATGTGACATTTCGGAAGTTGCATATATTATTTGTATCTGAGAGCAAAATGATGTGTTTCAGTCACCAATTCCTCATTTGACTTAAGAAATCAGCTATATTTCTGGACATCAGAGAAAAGAATGCAGCTTCATTTTATTTATCCTAGCCAATACAACAAAGTATGCAGCATATATAATTTGAATTTCATAACATTTTCATTCAAGTACTTTCATTTTGTTTTGAGTGCTGGCCTATAAAAGACCACACAGGTGTTAGTAAGAGAATAGAGCACGCTATGATGATGATGATGATGACGATGATGATGGTGATGATGATGATGACGACGACTCTTAGGAAAAATTACTTTTTGAGATGTTTTAAGAAAAAATCTGACATTTCTATAGCAATTTTACTTTCATCAACATCTTGAAAGAGCTACTGGCAAATGTGACAGACTAGGCTACTTGAATTCTATTTATTAATGATAATTTTAAGTTGAAACATATGCAATTCTGGAAGTTAAGTGTTTCATTCAAGAAAATAAATTCCACCTTAATTGGCTTAAGGTTGATGATACTCATTTGGCTGAACCTTGTGAAACTGTTGTGCTTCTGCAAAACGTTTTCAGCCAGTTTACAATAAGCTCCGAGAAAACAAGACCATCATTGTAATAATCCTTGAAATGACTGGGACCATTGATCATTTCAAGGGAAAACTGAAGTTCTGGAAGACTCAGCTGATGGAAGGTGTGATAACTGACTTCCCAAGTATTCAAAATTATCCTGATGGTACATGTGAATTGTGAAGATTATAAATAGTTCATTCAGCCTGCTGGTTCAAGCTATGGTAGGTTTATTTTCTCAGCAATAAGTCATATCAAGTACATGTCTTGTATTTAAGCATCCTGTTGCATTACTATATTCAGCCTTGTTTACATATAATTTTCAATCAGTAATGCGTGTGCAGATGTGTGCACGCGAAGACAGCAGCATATACGCAGCTTGTGAGAACAACGGACAAGCAAGGGGCAAAACTGTGGACAAAACATAACAATGGACTTGCATATGTAATAGATGAGCCGTTGCAATGTAAACAACTGAAGAAGGGAATATTACTTAGACAAGTGGATGATGTCCCTTATGAGGTGGAATTAGGACTCTTATATAAATATAACAAATTTAACGCACTAACAGTTGAGTACAATTGTAACATTTTAATTATGAAATATCCAGTTACACGCATGTGGAATGGACAATACTCAGTGCAGTGTAGCAGGTGTGCCAGAATGGGACACCTGAGGATGGTCGTCTGGGACAGAAACATGTTGTGTTAATAGTGAAAGAAAATGTGAATGAAGAAATAAACAGTTGCATTATTGAAGGAAAATTATATGTAAACAAGGTTGAACAAGTACATGCCATATACATGATTAAAAACTAAAGGCTTATTCTAAAGAGGCAATGCTCTAAAAGTAAATACATTATTCTTGAGTTACGAGCCACATCCATTGCTCCTCAATTATGTCAAGATTTCTACAACTAATCACATTCATTAATTCATCCTATATGGAAATCTGTATCAAATGCAATTCTACATGGCAAGGAATTACAATAAAAATTATTGTAGTGACTGATAGTTAATTTGAATTTAAACTCAGTTTTATATGACTATGATATGCAAGACAATCTGCACTTAGTTATCATTTTCAGTTATTTTCCATAAGAGCTGGTTGGTTCAGACACTAAAAATTATTATGGAATATTTATGTCATCATGATATCAGATACCTTTAGCAGCCTCAAGTTCAATGTATTTTGTTTTCATTCTCTGATTTTCTTCCTTATACGAATGTAACTGTCGTTTCCATTCCTCCACATTGGCAGTACTTTCTTGTAAGGCGCTTGTAAGTCGCATATTATTATTCTTAAGTGTTGCTAATTCTATTTCCCACTTCTTCGCATTGGCTGAACTGCAAAGAAAATTAATATGTCTTAGCAAACAGTCCTAGAAATAAACATTAAATTATCCTAATTTACAATAATTACTCCTAATTTAAGTTAAAAAAATGTTTCAAAATAAAACAAAATTAAAAATTATAAATAAAAATATAAGAGAATTTTATTAATGTTAAGATACATTTCATATTCTAATTTTAGCCAACATTTGTATAAAAGTATGTCACTTTCATCCTGCTTTCCTTACTTTGTGAGGAAAGAGAGGCTTGTGGTATTACAAGAAACTACAGGGAGCAGAGTTCTTAACAAGCTAACAGCTATTCAGCTAATCATATAATTCATTGCCATTTCAGGAACCATAAAATTCATTCAATATTCAAATGGGCCCACTACTGGACCTTATCATGAGCTGGATGAATCCAGTCCATACCTGTTGCCTTAAAGTGCATCTCAATATTAACCTCCCTTCTATAACAGGATTAAAAATAAGTCAAAAGTGCTTTTTTTCCATATATTTTTCAATTCATCTTTCACAAATCATCCTGTTATCTGATACTATATATTCCAATCAGCTGGAAAAATATTATTCCTGGAAATAACTAATCACCTACTTTCCTTTCACTCTAATTTGAGTATCTGGTATGATAAGTAGAAAGACAACTTTATTATATATGCATAATGAAGTAACTTAAACGATACAGTTTTGGAGGTTTCATTGCTGGTATTACTGATGGCAGTGATTTATGAGGTACACCGTTGACATGGGCTCAGATGGCATGATATACTTACGAAGTTTCATGAAGACTTGTTCTGGCATTCAGGTAATATTAATGTTATGACTTTGACAGTTTGAGAGTGTGGGATGTTGCTGGTCTAATAGACAACCACTTAAAAAGTTTGCGGGCGACAGGTGGGCTGGACATCGAGTGCTGGCCGCAATGTGACACTGACTTGGCTTGAGCTGAAGATGAATGCTGTCTGTTAGACAGACGAAGCTGTGTGTTAGTATGTGGGGGTTCCCACAAGAGGTTGTAGTGTTGGTACCAATGACAGGGATTTCTTATGTACAGCCACTGATACGGTCTCAGGGGGCATGATATACATAGCAGTTCTCACAACGATCAGTTGTAGCAATCAAGTAATATTAGGGTCAATACCTCAACATTTTGAGAAGCTACAATGTTGGCATTACCGACGAGAGTGTTTTATCATGTAGGTCATCAACATGGCCTCAGGTGGCAAGATATATACAAACCAAGTTTCATGAAGACTGGTGTAGGCGGTAACGTAATATTAAGGTTTTGCCTCAACTTTGAGAGGCTCTAAGGTTGGCATTGCTGATAAGAGGGATTTATGTTGTATGACACTGGGATGGCTTCATGTGGTATGATATTCTTATCAAGTTTCATGAAGATTGGTAAAGGCGTTTAAGCAATATGAAGATTTTGCCTCAGCAATTTAAAAGGCTGTAATGTTGATACTACTGATGGTACAGATTTATGAAGTGCATTTTTGAAATGGACTTAAGTGGGATTTATGATGTATGACACTGGGATGGCTTCATGTGGTATGATATTCTTATCAAGTTTCATGAAGATTGGTAAAGGCGTTTAAGCAATATGAAGATTTTGCCTCAGCAATTTAAAAGGCTGTAATGTTGATACTACTGATGGTACAGATTTATGAAGTGCATTTTTGAAATGGACTCAAGTGGCATGATATATGTTCAAACTAACATGACAATCATTTCAAGCATTTAAGTAACATTATGGTTATTACCGCTACTGGAGAGGCTGTAATGTTGGTACTACTGGCTGAGGGGATTCACGGAGTATGGCGATGAGAGAGTTTCATGTGCTATGATATACATACCAAGTTTCATGAAGACTGATATAGGCATTCAAGTAATATTAAGGTTTAGCTTCAGAAATTTGAAAGGCTGTATGTTGGTACTATTGATGGGTTGGATTTATGAGTTATACTGTTGAGGTGGGGTTAGGTGTCGTTATATACACACCAAGTTTCATAAAAATTGGTTCAGGCATTCAGAAGTTAATAGGGAGGGATACAGATACACACATGCAGACAGGTAGGTGATTTCATAAGTGTCTTTTATTTTTTCAAAATAACAGAAGTAGGCTAATAATGCAGATTTTCATTATCAATTGATATGTATGTCCATGGAAGTCAGACCATTAATATTTTCAATGGACCCTTGGACATGGACCAAACTTTGTAAACACTGCTTATCATTAGTTACTATAGGATTCTGACAATGGTGTATAACACACTGATATATTGGGTTTTTGGACGATGGATAAAGTCCAAAAACCCAATATATCACTGCTTATCATATGTGGAGGAAATAAGACTTCTGCAAAACATAATCTGTATAAATAATGCTTGGTGAATACAGACAAATACTGACATCCTGATAGTAATATGTTTTGCAGTTCTACATTATATTTCACCTACCTCTGAGCAAGAGCCAACTTCAGTCGGTCATTTTCATACTTTAGCTGAGCTTCTGCTGAACCTGCTGGAATGGCACTGACTACAGTTGTTGCTGCTGGGGTTTTTTCTCCTGTTGTCTTTGCCTGATGCTTGGGACTTTCACCAGGCTGCATGTATACATTACAATGTGTAATCATAGTCTATTCCATTTTCAAAATGGCTTCTGAAAGGAAAGTAGCTCTGTAGGGCAATTCATACTGCCCAACAACTTCTGAAAAAGTGTTAACTTTGCTGGAAGGATATGTCACTGAATCTGAAAGCGACATTCATTCAAAGATCTTCTTTCTAGCATAGTGACCATCTCAAATATGGAAGTGCAGGTTACATCAAGGTCTTATGCCACAGATTCATAAAGTATTTGTATGATAACAATTTTATGAATGAACTTCAGATGTGGTTGAGTATGTTTAGAAATCAAAACAAAGACAAAATGATCACAAAATATATTTTCTATTCAAAATACACTAGCAACCCAATATTGCAGGGCACACGAAAGCTTATGTGACAACAAATTTCATATGAAGCTTATAATCGTCGTTTACCTCTCCTGGCCCCCAACATTGCTGCTCACCACTTCTTCTCTAACCGCTCTTCGATGCCCACCTATGGGAGCGACTCTTTCTAACCGTTCTTTCTCACCTGTTGGTATGGCAAGTTTTCAGATTGCTGCTGCGTCCTTCTTATCCACCTCTTCTTCCTCTTGTTGTTGTTATTGTGGACATTGGTAGTTTATGGGATATGGTTAAACACTTAAACTAAACTTGGAATCACACTAATTTTGCAGCTGTATCCTTGGAGAGAGTTATTCAGCGACTACTTTAGCAGACTGACTCTGCTTTGAGGCAAGAAGTCTTCACAGTTTTAACTCCGCCTCTAAGTTACTACCCTAATTTTGGCTGATTGGAACAATTTGAATTTGGCAGTTTACTCTAATTCTCACTGCTCCAACCATCTTCTTGTTTCAAGGGACTCTCACCCTTGATGACCTAATGCATTTTTTGACAGTTGCCTGAAGAATTATACCAGTAGCGTGGGTTGTGGGCCTTCCCACTTTTGACTTCTGGGGTTCAAAACCTGTCAAGCATAACTTTACTAAATGATCCTGCCGGTCAACTTTTGAATTGAATTTCCTGGAAAACACTGTGGGGTCCTTCCTACCTTGTCTTTGTAGAAGTGAAGCAGGCTCTATTCTTGAAACCAAGCGTCGGGCTAAGTCACTCTTGAATATTCCTTACTACAACCCAAGTGTAATTACTATACTAAAAAAATCTTAATTACAAATAAAGCTGGCGGTATCAGTGGTACGACTACAAGCTTCCGTGCTTCAAAGTTTGCAAACATGGTGACAACACAAACATTGGTGGTAAAGTTTTTAGAAGAAACAGAAACCAGCCCTTTGTTTGTCAGGTTGTCACGACTGCTTTCATACCTTGGGGGACAGGATGTCATGAATATTGCATCAAAAATATTATGTAAAGGACTGTAAGTATAATATGCTGTGTTAATATTGAAAATAAAATACGTACATTATATAGCTGTATCCAAGGCCCACATCACCTGTGATTTGTCCTGAGCCCCACTCTTCTGTACCCTTACTTTTTATCATTCAGGACTAGCATTAGAGGACAACTAATCAGAAACATATATAACTTAAGTACTCACAATGAATAAATAAATAAATATCTCAGAAAAATCCTGCCTGTGAGCAGATGCGCTCACATTCTTGGAGCTGGCCAGTTTTATGCACCAATACATCCCACTTCAATTCACATCATTTCACTGCTATCCTGAAGGCAAAGCCCCATGGCTTGTGCAGACCTGCTACAGATCAGTCTAACACACACTCTCTTCTCTCTATAAAACTCTACAAAATCACTATGTAGAAACTGCAAAATGATTCATAGTAGAGCAAGACAATTTCTAATGTAATAAATTCCTCTGATGAAGAGATGATAAATGACAAAGGGAGCCTATAAAAAGCAGTGAAACAACAGCTAAATATAGTGGAAAGGCATAGATTCTACTAAATTAATTTAAAAATTCTTCAAAGAGTAATCAAATGAACCACAAAACACAGCCAGAAAAAAGGTACATAATCCGTAACTTCTTAAATTTTCTAACAAAGCATACTTCATTCTGACATCTTTTTTTGGCATCATCTCTTAGTTATAGGCCTTCCCTCAGCTGGTTACTTGGGATTTTTCCATATATGCTCTGGCCAAGACATGGTGACCTGGTTCTGTGGAAACTGGAAGGGCAGTTAGGTAACTGTAACTCTACTGTGCAAGAGATGCTGTGAACTACCGATATACATATGAAGCAGATGAACATAAACTACTCAAGATATGAACCAAATGTTAATAAACTCTTTGAGATATGAAATGGTTGACAGTCAACTTCCTGACCTATGAACTGGATTCAAGAAACTGTCCAAAACATGAAACAGATTGTCATGGACTAATAAATATGTAAACTGGATCCAAATAAATTTTCCAAGATACAAATTGGATGCTACTAAACTGCCCACAACTTGAACTAGATTGCAATGAATTACTGAAGATATAAATTTGTTGCTAACAAGTTGCATGAGATATGAATTGGACAGCAATGAACTGCAAAATACACACACACTGACTTCAAATAAACTGCACAAGATAGGAAATGAGTGCTATTAAACTGACCATGGTACATATTGGATTGCAATAAACTGTCCAATATATGAAGTGCACACAAATAAACTGCGCAAAATAGGAAATGAGTGCTATTAAACTGACCATGGTACATATTGGATTGCAATAAACTGTCCAATATATGAAGTGCACACAAATAAACTGCGCAAAATAGGAAATGAGTGCTATTAAACTGACCATGGCACAAATTGGATTGCAATAAACTGTCCAATACATGAAGTGCATGCAAATAAACTGTCTGAGATATGAAATGGGATCAGTGCTCTGAGCAAGATATGAACTGGACAGTAATAAATTGCCAAATACAAATACAAATTAGATATAAACTGTTCAGTGTATGAGCTGGATGCTAACAAACTGCATGAGATAAGAACTGAACGTTAATAAACTGCCCAAGATATCAATGTCAGTACCTGAAGTCCTGAAAGAGACTGACTGCGCTGATGAGCAGTCATTGAAGTCTTCAGGGTATTGGAGTCTCCAGCAGACCCTGCTACCACTGCATTAGGCACTGCATTGTTACTCGTTACAGTGGCAGCACCAGATGCTGGCGAGTTGGTTGTACTGTTGTGCAAAGGGACAGCTGAGGTGTTGGTGCTGTTTGGAGGGTCCAACAGAGGCGT